ATTGGGCTCCCTGGAGGGAGCTTGTTTCTCCTTCTGCCTCTGTGTGTGTGTGTCTCTCATGAATAAATAAATGAGATCTTTTTTAAAAATCATGGAACTATACATCTAAAAGGGTGAATTTTATTTTATATAAATCATATCTCAATAAATCTGACTTCTAAGAAAGGCATGTCTTTTTTTATATTTTATTTTTTTAAAGTAGACTCTGGACCCAACTCAAACTCACAGGGCTCAAACTTACAACCCCAAGATCCAGAGTCACATGCTCTACCAACAGAGCCAGCCAGGCATCCCTAAGAAGGCATGTCTTACTATTCTCCTTTGAGTTATTTAAAAGATGCACGTTGGGCTCCCTGCATGGAGCCTGCTTCTCCCTCTGCCTATGTCTCTGCCTCTCATTCTGCGTCTCTCATGAATAAAAAATAAAATTTAAAAAATAAAATAAAATATGCACATGTGAGTGCACCAACATTTCAGTTAGTAGCATCTCAATTATTGCTGCTGCGCTGAGCTAGGAGAATCCCCATCAGAATTAAGGAAACTTGATGTATTAATTAGCCTCTGGCTTTTCTGCAGGCAAGCCTAGCCATTCCTCTAGACTTCATGAAATCCTGAAGCTCTCTCACAGCAACTCATTTTCTGTGTGGAACCACACCTATAACCTGGAGAGTCCAGACTGCGATCCACTGAGCAACTTGGGTCACAGAAAGCAGCAGAAAGACTGGGGTTTTCTTGCCTGGGAGAGTCTCCCCCACCCCTCCCCAAGACTGGCACCTGTTTGTGGCCCAGGTAGGCCATAGGGTGGAGAAAACACAGCAGCCTTAATCCAACTGCTTTTTGCCTCCCTCCTAAAGCTTCTCTTTAGAAGTTCTCCCCCTGTTAGAGTCTCGCTGGTATAGTGAGAAATATATTTGGGTTTTTTGCCTAGCACAAACCCTTGGAATTATCCTAAGCGACAAGGGTGTCTTTTGTCATTCAGAAGAAGCCCTTTTGAGTTTACTCTAATGAGGTGATCTGGACAAAGTCAGAATGGGGCTGATCACCAGAAAGACCAAGAGTTTAAAGGATTGGAATTTTCAGCCCTACCTACCGGGCCTCTGGGAAGGGGGAAAGGAGGCTGTAGATTTGCTCTGTAAATACTTAAACTATGAGATTTGATGAGTTCCCAAGTTAGTGAATACATCCATTTGTTGGGAGGATGGCACACCCCAGTTCCATAAGGACAGATGTTCCAATTCAGGAGACCCTACCAGGTCTCACCTTGTGTACCTCTTTATCTGACTTTTTGTATCCTTTATAACATCTTGTATAATAAACTGGGAAATGTAAGTAAATGTTTCTCTAGAGGTTCTGTGAGCCACTCTAGCAGATTAATTGAACTCACCTAGAGAGTTGTGGAAACCTCTGATCTCTAGCCAGTGGGTCAGAAGCACAGGTAATGACCTGAACTTGTAACTGACATCTCAAGTGGGGGCATGGGGACAGTCTTGGGGGATTGAGCTCTTAACCTGTGGAATCTCACACTATCTACAGGTAGAAAGTTTCAGAACTGAGTTGATTCCTTGGTGGTTTTGAAAAACACACCTCAGAGCTTCTATCTGGAGCTTGCAACACCCTCTAACATCTACCCCTGCCATCTTCCAGTCTCCTTTCATGCTGCCTGGCTTCCTGCATGTTACTCCATTCAAAGGCCAACTCCTCCAGGAAACTTTCCCTCATATGGGCTTGGACTTCGGTTGAAATCCCAGTATTGCTCTTAATAGCTCAACTTTTATGTGCCTTGGTGTCCTCATCTGTCCAGTGGGATGCCAATAGGAATTTTTCCCTTAGGATTGTTGTGTGGAAGGCTCAGCACAGAACCTGGCATATGATAAGTGCTCCATACATGTTGGTGGGAATCTCTTTCTCCCATACACCCATATAAGCACTTCGTACCTTTGTTTATGGCCATAAAATAAAAACGATGATAATGAGAGGAAGCCTTCACCTGTGGATGGGCTTCTACATTAGTTTCTAATTATTACCTCCTAATAATAGGATGATAGCTACTATGCATTGAGTATTAACCATGAGCAACTGGGTATTTGATACAAAGTCATTTAATTTTCAAAGTGACAAGGTAGATATTATTATCCCAATTTACAGGAATCAGAGTCAAAGTGTCAGAGTATCTGTAAGCCTCCAGCTGGCCCATGGCATTGCCACTGTGGGAACTGGAGAAAAAGGGGAACCCATGCAAAAATAATGCTCATGCTGCTAGTTTGTGCTGTGGGTAAGTCTTTTGTCTTTGACTCAGGAGTCTCCTGTTTTCTGTCAGCAACCAAACTCATTAGCTTCTCAATAGGGTAAAATTAAATTACAGACTTGACACCTATGTCCTAGGCAAAGTGAATTTATTTTAGTTTCTCGAATAAGTCATGCCCTGAAAGACATCACAAATACTATTCTTTCTGCCTAGAACATTTCAGCCCTTCTCTTCTTTTGGTCACCCCCACCAGTTTCTGTAGGAAGCCTTCTCCCCTGCCTCCTGCTCCCCATCTGTCAATTGTAGTATTTTCCCCTCTTCTAAGGCTCCAAAGAGCCTTCCGTTTCCTGGCTCAAGCACTTCTCACAATGTGTTGTAATTGCCTGTTTATTTACTTGCCTCCCTCCCTCAGTAAAGCAGGATCTCTGTGAGGTCAGAGACATTGTCATCCAAAATACGCCCTTGGGACCCTTGGGATGGCTAGGTGGCTCAGGGGTTGAGCATCTGCCTTTGGCTCAGAGATTCTGGGGATTCTGGGATCGAATCTTTCTCTCTCCGTGTCTCTCATGAATAAAAAAATCTTAAAAAAAATACACCCTAATACATTGCCTGGTATACAAAAAGTGCTTCATAAATATTTATCTGATGAATACAGTACAATTAGAGTGATATGCATAGGGATCCCTGGGTGGCGCAGCGATTTAGCGCCTGCCTTTCGCCCAGGGCACGATCCTGGAGACCCGGGATCGAATCCCACGTCAGGCTCCTGGTGCATGGAGCCTGCTTCTCCCTCTGCCTATGTCTCTGCGCCTCTCTCTCTCTCTGTGTGTGACTATCATAAATAAATAAAAATTAAAAAAAAGAGTGATATGCATTAAGTGGTAGTAAAAAAAAAAACAGCATAAATGGAGATCATTTAAATAAGAGTGGAGGTCTGGGAAAGGCCTTTAAAGAAACCAGAATATGTCACCCCAAAGTATGCCTCTTTGACATAAAAATTATTTTGAGTTGAAGGCAATTAAGAAGCAGTAAATCCTAAAAGCAGGAAATGTCTCCTTTCCTAAAGACAGACTCTTAACAACCCAAAGACCAGAGGCCATGCACCAGAGGATCTGCAAACAAACCTCGTTAAATTAATCCTTGTCTTTCTCATTAAGGAAGATAAGGACTACCTTGCTCTAGTTGGACTACCTCTAACCTGAACCTCTGTCAATTCTTCACAAATTATTGTTTCTTTGCCTAACAGATATAAAACCTTCCTGTTCTGGTCTTTTCTTCAGATCTTTGTTCTCTGGCCTTTCCACGTAAGTGTAAAAATAAAATTTGTATGCTTTATTAGGAGGCCTGGGTGGCTCCATCAGTCCAGCATCTGACTCTCGATTTTGGCTCAGGTCATGATCCCAGGGTCACATGATGGAGCCCCACATTGGGCTCTGTACTCAGTGGGGCACCTGCTGGAGATCCTCCTCTCCCTCTGCCCCTCCCCTGCTCTCTCTCTTTCAACTAACTTAAACAAATATGTGTATGCTTTTTCTCCTGTTAATCTTTGTCTGTATGATTCTCAGACCTAGCTAGAAGCCCCCAAGACAGTTGAGGAAGACTTTCTCCTCCCCTACAGCCTCCTGGAAGAGAGGACAATTGAGGATGGTCTGAAGGACAAGTCGGTTAGGTAGGTTCAGTAGGGAGAGAAGAGAAGGGCGTTTCAGACGGTGAGAATGGTTAACAGGAACATGGAAAAAGCAGGTGCCTTTAAGAAAACGGCCTATCCGGGCGGCCTGGGTGGTTCAGCGGTTTAGCGCCGCCTTCAGCGCAGGGTGTGATCCTGGAGACCTGGGGTCGAGTCCCACATCGAGTCCCACGTCGGGCTCCCCGCATGGAGCCTGCTTCTCCCTCGGCCTGTGTCTCTGCCTCTTTCTCTCTCTGTGTGTCTCTCGTGAATAAATAAATAAAATCTTAAAAAAAAAAACACACAAAAAAACAAAAAACTGGCCTATCCTGCAGAGCTGGCTGCAGCCGGGGTCAGAGGGTGGGTTGGAGGGACAGGAAACAAGGCTGCCTGCCAGGTAGGTAGGTGAGGGTTCAATCATGACGTTTGTATTTCATCTAGAATCCAGATTTTCATTTCAGATTTAGACTTTTGGTTAAAGATCTGACTTTTTGTAAAGATACATTTACACCCTCTTAAATGTCTCATACCATGAAGTGGCGAGGGGCACCTGGGCGGCTCAGTCTGTTAGAGCCAGTGGCAGTCCTGATTTAGGCTCAGGTCAGGATCCCAGGGTCCAGAAATCCAGGCCCAGGGAGGGGCTCTCTCTCTCTCCTTCTGCCCCCCCCCCGCCATCCCCCACCGCAGGAAAAAAAAAAAAAGAAATAATGTAGGAACACGTGGGTTGCAATGATGGTTTCTTCACTCATTCCCTTCTGAGCCTCTGTAAGCCAGGGGTGACCGCATCCGCCTCAAGTGTTTAGTGGAGATTAAGTGCAGTAACCTGGGTAGAGGGCCTGATAGGCGGCATTACTCGGTAAACGCTACCTTGCCCTTCTCTCTTTCCTCCCGACCACTCGGTCGCGCTGTCCCCACGTGCGCGCCAGGCCCCGCGGGGAGCTCGCCGCCCCCCCGCCCCCCCCCCCCCGCCGGCCTCGCGAGCTTCCGGCCTCCGCCGAGCCCGGCGTGGTGGCGCTCTAGGCTGCACACTCCGGCGCTCTATGGTTTTTCCTCCGCCCCGGAAGTGGTTCCGCCGCAAGAGTTGGTAAGGTCGGGCCATGGTGGGGCAGAGGTTGGGAAGATGGCGTGGCGTGGCTGGGCGCAGAGAGGCTGGGGCTGCGGCCCGGCGTGGGCTCAGCCGGCGGGCGGTCGCGGCTGCGAGGAGCTCACTGCGGCCCTGGCCCCCCCGCGACTGCTCGGACGCAGGTAATGACCGGGCTTCTTTCCCCTAAGACCCTCAGCTCCGGCCGAGCATCCTCGGGGGCGCAGGCCGCGCGGGCCTGCGGGGCTGCCTTCGCTCACCCCCGTCGTCACCCCTCCCTTCCTCTCTCCATGCATCGCGCTTTGCCCTCTCGCCAGCCCTCGCTTCTCGCCGTGCCAGCGTGCGCCGAGCCGGGGTGCCCGTGACCGACCGCGGCGCAGCTTCCCGTGAGCCCGCGCCGTCCGCCCCTCTCCCAACGGAAAGGACGTGAGGAGAAGGGAGCTTAGTCTCTGAGGGCTAATTGCGTGCCACGCCGCATAATCCCGCGAAGAAGGTATTAGACCCACTTTTTTTTTTTTTTTTAAGTAAAGCCGTTACACAGATGGGAGAATAGCAGAACTGACTCTATCCGTCTTTATAAACCTGTGTTCTACAAGTTATTATTTTTAAAAAAATATTTTATTTATTTATTCATGAGACACACACACAGGCAGAGACAGAGGCAGAGGGGGAAGCAGGCCCCATGCAGGGAGCCCGACGCGGGACTCGATCCAGGGTCTCCAGGATCACGCCCTGGGCCACCCGGGCTGCCCTACAAGCTAACTTCTTTACGGTTTAGAGAACTAAGGGAAGACGGAGTCCATGGGCATTTGCTTTGCCTTCTGCTAAGTCTTAGGAGAGGCTTCTCTGTTGAAGAATGGAGACCGTGGGATAATTGGTTTCCAGATGACTTGGAAAGAAAACTACAATATTGGTTTTCCCAAGTAGAAGCTGCATGAAGAGTATACTCAGTATTTGCTGCTTTTTGTTGTTGTTGTTGTTGATTCAATTCTGAATTAAGAGAAGAAAAAAAAATCGGCTGTCCGAGATTTTGATGTGGTTCGATTCGAAATTTGTTCCAGTTGTTTAATCTCGAGTTCGAACCTTCCCAGTCCCTGAGTTGGTTCCAGATGCCTGGAATCCCATCTGATTGATGGTAGAGCAAGTTAAGGTAGAGTGTTGAACAGAGTGGTCAGCCAGTGGCAAGTGGAGCCTCAAACGTGGTGGAGGGAGTTTTTGCCTGATTTTAAGAATCACCTGGAATGTTTGTAGACTTTTCCCAGGCCCCATCCCAGTTCTATCAACTCAGAAATTGTTGTGGGGGTGAGGGAGTGGAAAAACCTGTAATTCTTGGCAAGCACTCCCCACTGAATTAGGAATTTGTGAAAACTTGCATACATTGTAGCTTAACCTCGTGACACATCTTAACATTGGAACTTCAGGCACTAACCTTAAACTCCTGGGGAGATGGAGAATCCCATCTGGAGGTTGTTGGAGGTGGTGACAGATTTCAGTGGTCCAGATTCCATAATTTCTTCCAAATCCTGTGAAAACTGCATGGTTTGGGGGTGGGGGGAGCAAAAATGAATATCACTATTAGGAAGCAACAGGTGTGTTAATATTAAAAATAAGTATTAAGGGAAAGCAAAAGAAAAATACCTTGATTAATGAAGAACTTCTGGTAAAAATTGGAAACCATTTGAAAAAAACAAATGAAAGTGTGATGTAGAAGGTTAGCATCTATTTTTTTTTAGCATCTATTTTTTTTAAGTTTGCCTTTTATTTGCAAAGTTTGAAAATGACATTTTTTTATGGTTGCATAGAAAAATGTGCATTACAAGAGAATGTAGGTAAGCCTGAAATAGATATGGCGGCTCACCTATGGAAATAAGCACTTAAATAGGAAGGAGTTACTTTATTTGCTCTGCTTTGACTTCCTGTGGTTCTAAGATTAGTATACAGACTATAGTTAGAGGTGAGGTTAAAAAGCAGAGTTCTGGGCCCAATCCTTGTCATTCTGATGTGATAGACCTGAAGCATGGCTGGAAATTTGCAGTATAAGTAATGATAGAAGAGTTCTGTAAACTATGGAAGGCCCAATGCAGCCCACCTGGTAAAAATGATTTTTATGTTTTTAAAGGGTTGCAAAGCAAAACAATATGTGACAAATGTGTTCTTCATAAAAACTAAAATATTTGCTATCTGTCCCTTTACAGAAAAAGAAAATCTCAGGCTCTTCAGAAGCTTTACCATTATCAAATTTCTGGCAGCACTTCTAAGAAATGGTTTAGGCTTGAAAGAAGCCTGCACAATTTCAGTTGTATGGAACTATCCAAGAGATTAATTGGTTGTTCAGCTACTTTCTCTGTTTAATTTATCATCTATTGACTCAAGATGGGTTTTAAGAGAATAATTTTGTCATGAAAGTGTTTATGTAGAATTCCTCCTCCCCTAAATATGTTTAATTTCTTTTTAAGTGTAATGAATCTATTGCTTGTACGCTTAGACACATGTTGTCTTCATTTGAACATTAGGCTATTTCTACTCAATTTATTCATGAAAATCTGTAGTAACAGACATTAGTGCTGACTCGTACATATATCTAAGTTGCATTGTTAAAAACAGTTCACAAGACTGTTTTCACTCGTTAAGCCAACTAATTCATAGATACGACTTTTCCTATTTATTTATTTATTTATTTATTTAAATTATTTTTTTAAAAGATTTTATTTATTCATATGAGACAGAGAGAGTGACAGAGAGGCAGAGACATAAGCAGAGAGAGAAGCAGGCTCCAGGCAGGGAGCCCGATGTGGGACTCCAGGACCATGCCCTGGGCCAAAAGGCAGGCGCTCAACCACTGAGCCACCCAGGCATCCCGACTTTTCCTATTTAAAAGTTATGGGATCATGTTAAACAGAACTATAGGGGGATCCCTAGGTGGCTCAGTGGTTTGGCCCCTGCCTTTGGCCCAGGGCGCGATCATGGAGTCCCAGGATCGAGTCCCGCATTGGGCTCCTGGCATGGAGCCTGCTTCTCCCTCTGCCTGTGTCTCTGCCTCTCTCTTGCTCTCTCTCTCTCTCTATGTCTATCATGAATAAATAAATAAAATCTTAAAGAAAAAAAACAGAACTATAACAATCATATGGCCAGCAGTAACGGGTATTCATGAGATCTTCCGACTTTGAGTACATTACTGCTCTCACAAATGACTGGTTATTGGAGGAAGGACCAGAGCAGCAGAGCTAAAAGGCAGGCCTGTTTTCATGAGTTAGTATATGCCTCTAGTGGTCCTCTCCTCCCTTTCTACTCTCTGCTCACACCATCCATTTTATCATGCTGTTTCTCTTTGTTTTCTGAACCTTTTTCAGGTAAGTGATTTATTCATTTATTTTTCTCCCTTTTGTACTGATATGAATGAGTAGAGCTAAAGAACCTAAGCTTGTAAATATGATCTCAAACATTTTGCAGTTAGAAACGTTTATGATGCTTTTTCCTTGTTTTTGCATTTTAAGAAATTTAAAACAAAAGCTCCTTACGAACATAATGTACCTTTCCTACAATGTGTGATGAAGTACTTGATCTAAAAATATTTTTGTACTAACAGGAAACCCAACTCTAACCAACCTAGGTAATTAGGGGAATTTATTGGCTTATGAGGTTAAGTCTAGAAGTAGGACTGGCTTCTAATGAGGCAAGATTCAGTATTTCAGATTGTCACCAGGATTCCATTTTTCTCCATGGGTTGGCTCTGCTTCCTAAACGTTGGCGTTACTCTTGGCGTGCTCTCCTTGTTGTAAGATGGCTGTCAGTAGTAGCTCTTGGGGCTATATACTCTTAGGTTCACATCCAGCAGAAAAAGTTCTCCAGGGATGCCTGGGTGGCTCAGCCGCTGAGTGTCTGCCTTTGGCTCAGGACATGATCCTGGGGTTCTGGTGTTGAGTCCTTCATTGGGCTCCCTGCATGGGGCCTGCTTCTCCCTCTGCCTGTGTTGTGTTTCTGTCTCTCTCTCTTTCTCTCATGAATAAACAAAATCTTAAAAAAAAAAAAAAGTTTTCCAGTATTACAAACAAAATCTTGAAATTCACTGGACTAGATTTGCCTGATTTGGGATACGTGTCCATTTTTGAATTCCTCGAAATTGGCAGGAGTAGGGGCTCTCTAGGTTGGTTTAAGCCAGTCAGGAGCTGGTGTGCCTCTCCCAACCAAATGGCTGGAAATTCCAGTGTACTGTTAGAACGGGGGGGGAAAGGACTTAGATGCTGGGAGTCAGCGAGAAACGTTCCCTACTGTCAGATCTAATGAAACTTTTGTGTTTAAATTCTTTGTTATAAGTCCAAATTTTTGTTAGTCCTAGTCAGATAGGATTACCCTGTATATAACCATTCTAATTGAAGTGGAAGTTTTGTTAGGAATTAGGTTCTTTTTTTTTTTTAAGATTTTATTTATTTTTTCATGAGAGACACAGAGAGAGGGAGAGAGGCAGAGACATAGGCAGAGGGAGAAGCAGGCTCCGTGCAGGGAGCCTGACATGGGACTCCATCCCGGGTCTTCAGGGTCACGCCCTGGCCTGAAGGCGGCGCTAAACCGCTGAGCCACCAGGGCTGCCCAGGAATTAGGTTCTAGCTCCATTGTAAGTGGTTCATGAACTGGCAGTTTAGGCCTCGTCTAGGATAGGGGTGGCAAACTTATTTTGTGAAAGGCCAGGTAGAAAATGACAGGGTCGCATATGGTTTCTGTCACATACTCTTCCTTTTCCTTTAAATAACTCTTTTAAAAATTAAAAAACACTCTTAGCTGAAGGGCCAACTCCATCCTCCAAGCTGAAGTTTGTCAGTTTGTGAGCTTGTTTAGAAATGTAGAATCTCCTATTTTTTTCCGCCTCACACTTACTAATTTGGAATCTGATATTAACAAGACACCCAGGTGATTTGTATGGATACTAAAGTTTTCCCCAAATCTGTGGTAGATCAACCCTGGGAAATAAAGTTTTTAGCTTTCCAGCTCCTGCAGCATATAAATATGTGCCAGATAATAGGAATAGGTGTTCAGTGAACCAGTTTTAGTTCTATTGAACAAGTTTTTTTTTTAAGATTTTATTATTATAGAGCATGCACACAAGCCAGGAGAGGGAGATGGAGAGGAAGAAGCAGACTCCCTGCTGAGCAGGGAGCCACCTGCGGTCTGAATCTCAGGATCCCTGGATCATGACCAGAGCTAAAGGCAGATGCTTAACCAACTGTGCCACCCAGGCACCCCTGTTGAACAAGTTCTGTATGTCCAATTATAATTCCCAATATGTATATACTTAAAAAAAAAAGATTTTATTTATTCATGAGAGACCCAGGCAGAGAAATAGGCAGAGGGAGAAGCAGGCTCCCTGCAGGGAGCCCAATGCCAGGAGTCAGTCCCAGGACCCCGGGACCACACCCTGAGCCGAAGGCAGCAGCTAAACCACTGAGCCACCCAGATGTCCCTGTATATACTCTTTTCATATGTATATATTCTTAATATATATATTCTGCATCTGACCTTAACCCTGGGGCCAACTTGTGTAACATATTCTCAGTGTCCTTGGCCCCATGCTTATTTTTTTTTATAAATTTATTTTTTATTGGTGTTCAATTTGCCAACATATAGAATAACACCCAGTGTTCATCCCATCAAGTGGCCCCCTCAGTGCCCGTCACCCAGAGTGACGCCCCACCCCCCGCCCGCCTCCCCTTCCATCACCCCTAGTTCGTTTCCCAGAGTTAGGAGTCTCTCATCTTCTGTCTCCCTTTCTGATATTTCCCACTCATTTTTTATCCTTTCCCCTTTATTCCCTTCCACCATCCCACACTTATTTCTAAGGTGAATATTATTCAAGGCAAAAGGTCTGGCTTTGCTTAAAGTTAGGTTCCGAAACTGGTGTATTTGTGTTTCTTTTCAAACGTGCACTTCAGAATTTTTGTTTTTTGTTTTTGTTTTTTTTAAGATTCTGTTTATTCATAAGAGACTGAGAGAGAGGCAGAAATCTAGAGGGAGAAGCAGGCTCCCTGTGGGAGCATGATGCAGGACTCTGATCCAAGGACCTCAGGGATCACAACCTGAGCCAAAGGCAGATGCTCAACCACTGAGCCACCCAGGTGCCCTGCACTTCAGAATTTTAAATGAGTTGATAAGCTATGGAAGTAATCTTTTATTAGAATCAATTTTGTGTCTTCTAGTATTACACTATTGGAAACATAAAGGAGTCTCATTCTTCACATTTCTTGGTCTAATAAGAAAAAAATGCTAGAAAACAACACTTGGTTACAACTTGTGGTCTTTTTTTTAACTTTTTTTTTTTTTACTTTTTTTTTAACTTGTGGTCTTTAAAGGGAACATACTCTTGTTACTTTATGTCACACCTTTGTCTTTTGACCCAAAGTGGTGGTACTTTATTTACCAGCCATGCTCTAGGTTACTTTTAATTATTTAATAAAAATTATATCCCCTCCCCCAAAATAAATAAAAAATCCAAACGCAAGGGATTAACATTTGCCACTTTAAAGGCATTTTCAGTTAGGAATGCATTTGGCTGTAAGTAAATTTGCTGTTTAAATAAATGAGGGGATGGGTAGTTAGCATAAGTGATGGAGGTCAGTGGCTGCTCTCTGCTCAGTAGCTCAAAAATCCCAAGGTTAGTATTTTAATCCCTTGGCCTTTCTCTTGGCATTCAAGATGACTGCCCCAACTCTAGGCATTACAGCCTTCTTCAAGGCAAAAATGAAGGGGGGAGGGTTATTGTAATGACACTAATGATATGTCCATTGTTATAGAGAAACAAATGTTCCCAAGAGGCACATAAAAATTCTTAAGTCTCTCATTTTCTGAGAACTCTAATATGGCTACCCTGTGCCATAACGGAGGCTGGAAAAGTGAAGGTACTTACCTTTTATAGCCTCTGCAGAAAAAGGCAATAGAAAAAGAAATAGATTTAGGATTAGCTGTTTAATGGTATTTGCTAAAGGATATTCATGATACTGGTAACAGGGCTATGAAGGAAGTTCAGAGCCATTCAAAGCAGCATTGCTTTGTTTGAATAAGTGCATTGCTTTTCCAAATAGATTTCCTCAAAAGGAATAGCACTTATTTGGAAGTATAAATTATGAATTATTAAAGGTTTCAAGGCAAATTCCTTTATCACCATCACCCATCCTCACCATGTGACTTCTGAGAAGTTGAACTGTGGAGTGGACTCAGTGTTGAAGAAAGAGCATACTAGGCAAGGAATAGTAATAATAGTTGCTATGCCATTTTTCTGAGTTTCAGTTTTTTCCAGATATCTACTAGACACTACCTGGGTATCCTACAGTTGCTAACAATACTTTATTTTGTGTAAGTATTAAGGTATAGCCCATGGATTCTGACAAATGTATATACCTGTGGAACCATCACCTAAAGATATACATTGTTTTGCTCAACAATGTTTTTGAATTTTATCCATGGTGTGTAATCAGTAGTTTGTTTTTTGCTAAGTAGTGCTCCATTGTATGAATATACAACAGTTTGTCCTTTCCCTTTTTGATAGGAATTGAAGTTCTGGTTTTTTAGCTGTTAGAATAGAGCTGCTGTGACGACAAGCATTTGAAAGACTGCCCAAGATGGAATTCTTCATGTCTTATCTTCCAAGTTCCTATTTTGGTCCCCCTGATTTCCCTTGTCCTGGTGAATAGTATCACCTTCCTTTCAGTTATTCAAAATAGAACGATCATTCTTGACCCCCTTCTTTCTTCTAATAATTATTGATCTTTATTAGGGGCTGATCTTGGTGATAGAGATACAGTGAATACAAAAGTAATTGTCTAGTTGTGGTACAGGCAATAACTCTCACATAAGCAAAAGAGTCTGTACAGGATGCTTTAGGACTCTAGGAGTACAAAGGAGACACTCACCCTGGTTAATGAATGATTCCTGGAGGATGAGATAGATGAACTGAATTTTGAGGGGCACAAGAGTGTTTTAACAAAGGGATGTATCAGAACAAGGGAGTAGCATTGCTGAGTTTGATGGGAGGATGAAAAATTATTGTGGAGTTTAAAGCAGGGGAATGATACTACATTTGTGTTTAATAAAATGAAGATGAATTGGAGTGGGGCAATATTGGAAGTAATGAGGTATGGGCATTCCTCAAGTAATGAGGAAATAGGGCATTCTAGGTCAGAAGAGATGAGCTAGGAGTTGTATTGGAACTCGAGAGATTTTTGGTTCTCTGAGAAGGCATCTGGGAACTATTGAATGAGGAAAAGTGATTTAAGAACAACATACAAGTTAAAATGTTTGAAGTTAAGTAAATTGTTGCTGTACTACAAGCATGAAGTGAGGGATTAGGAGTGAAAAATTTTTTTTATTTGACAGAGTTGTTTTTAATTGGATGGTAAAAATAAAGGAGAAAACACCAAAATGACATTTAGATTTTTAAGTTCAGCGATTGAGAGAGCTGTGGTTTCTCTGAAAGTCTTTCTCAGAAAGACTGAGGAAGTCAGAAAATGGAACTGGTTGTAGAGGAGGAGTTTCTTATTGAATATATTGGTTTTAAAATAATTAAGAGCATATCCAAATCAAATTCAGTATACAGATGGAAATACAAGACCGCAAGATTGAAATTAGGACTAAGAAAATATATTTAGAAGTCATCACTGGCCACAGAAATACATTTATTCAGCTAAAATGTTGGAAGGCCTGTCTGATTTCTGCTTTCAAGGAGCTTTGAGTCTAGGAGGATGGTATATTTAGAGTACAATGAGAACAAACAGGAAAGGGCCTCTACTTTGTCTACTTAAGGAAATTTTACAAAAGAAAAAATTCTTCATGAATTTATATGGGTTGAGTTTGAAAGAAGAGCATGTAAAGGAACTATTGGAGACTTTGAACGTATCTATCACTAAGGGATAGGAAGAATGGGGAGAAGCCATCAAGAAAGTGAATTTGAAGAAAAGGAATGAGATCTTACAGGAACTGGGTAGGGCTGGTAAGTGTGGTCAGTAGTGTCCATGTTTTGAGGTCAAGCTATGAGGACTCAAAACAACAAAACCCTTTATAAAACATTTGGCAGGTGTCCCCAGAGCTGAGTGAAATAAATAGGGGGAGAAGTAGGGAAAATCCATCAACTTAGAATGATCAGTATTTCTATAAAAGAAAGCAATTATTTGAATTTGGAGTGACTTTGAGGATAATCCTTATATTTAAATGTTTGTCCTAGAAATTGAACAAACTTCAAACAAAATAACAAAGCCATTCTGTGCAAATTCACACTGACAAGTTGGAGTTCTCCAGCTTTTTCCCAGACTTCGAACTGTGTGTGGAGGAGGGAGACAAATAATTTTGCTGATTGATAACACAAGTTAACAGCCCAGACAAATTCACTTTAAAGTTGCTGTGGTTTGTGTGTCTCTGTCCCCTTTTCTAGAAGGGCACAGTTCAGTATTTTGACTTAGAACCCTAGCTGGAAGTAGGAATGTTGGCTTCTTTGGGGCTATGGAAGGAGAGCAGATGCAGGCTGAGGGTGAGGGTCATGGAGGTTGATGTTTGCAAAATGCAGCTGTTGCTAATCTCTCATTTTCCCCTTAAAGGTTTTACTTTTTTATTCAGCAAAAATGTGGATTCAGAAAAGCACCCAGGAAGGTTGAACCCCGAAGATCAGACACAGGAACAAGTGGTGAAGCATACAAAAGAAGTGCTTTGATTCCTCCTGTAGAAGAAACAGTCTTTTATCCTTCTCCCTATCCTATAAGGACCCTTGTGAAGCCCTTGTTTTTTACTGTTGGGGTAAGTGCTCATGTCACCAGAGTTATTTATCTTGCTGCTGCTGTAGTAAGGAAGTATATTTGTCTTATTTGGGCTCCCTTAAAGACAAGTAGAAGGGGATTTAAAGGATCTGGGTATCTGGGGAGTCATGAATGATTTTGGGAAAACATGAATTTAACAATTGCTATTGTTACTATTGCATGCATGGGGGGGAGGGGCAGAGGAAGAGAGAAAGAATCTTACAGCCTCCATGCCCATTGGGGGCTCATGAGGCTCTGTCTCATGACCCTGAAATCGTGACCTGAGCTGAAATCAAAGACACTTAACCAACTGAGCAAGCCAGGTGCTCCTAATAATTGCTATTAGAATCTGGTTCACTTCTGTATGCCCTGCAGAAGAAACTTATGGCTCTCTTATTTGGGATATCATTTTATGTGGTATTTTGAATTTTATTTGAAAATTTCTAGCTGTAAACAGGCCCCCAGGGTACAGTAAAGTTAATAAAATGGGGAGAACAGTTAAATATTCTTTTCACCTAATTAAGTTTCACTATGCCAGATGTTTCTGTTACTTCTGTTGATTTTGCAAGAAACAATGAAAATGAAATATTGTTCTTAGATCTTTGTATTGATCTCTTTTTCTTTTGAATTTATTTTGTGATATGTTTTATATAGTTTACAGGCTGTGCATTTGGATCAGCTGCTATTTGGCAGTATGAATCACTGAAATCCAGAGTCCAGAGTTATTTTGATGGTATAAAAGCTGATTGGTTGGATAGCATAAGACCACAAAAGGAAGGAGACTTCAGAAAGGAGGTAAACATGGCTTTCTTTGTTCTACTTGATCACAAGTTTAGAAATCTGGTTATTTGTTAAGTGTTTTTAATGATGATAACATTTACATCAGGGGATACGAAGTTATTGAACTTAGTATTCTTCTTTAGGGTCATTTCATTGCAATATCAGTGCTTTTTTATATGTCTGGCAGTAATGTACTTGATGGTATTCTAGGAGGTTTGTCCCTCTACCCACATGTATCAAAAATCACTGGATAGTTGCTAAAAACTAATGGGCTGGGGTTTCAGCTCTACCAAAGTTTAAGGGCTACTGTTTTGCATTACCTGCTGAATTGTTTTAGAGTATGTAGTAGAATCGCAGGCATTTTTTTTCAAAGCATCTATGCCTTAGGTGTAGAGATATTATGTGGATTTTATTTTATTTATTAATTTTTAAGATTCATTTATTTATGATAGAGAGAGAGAGGCAAAGACACACACAGGAGGAGGGAGAAGCAGGCTCCATGCCGGGAGCCCGATGCGGTACTCAATCCTGGGACTCCAGGATCGGTACTCAATCCTGGGACTCCAGGATCGTGCCCTGGGCCAAAGGCAGGCGCTAAACTACTGAGCCACCCAGGGATCCCCTGTTATGTGGATTTTAAAAGGCTTCTCAGTGTGGGACGCCTGGCTGGCTCAGCAGTTGAGTGTCTGCCTTCAGCTTAGGGTGTGGTCCTGGGATTGAGTCCCACATCAGGCTCCCTGGGAGGAGCCTGCTTCTCCCTCTGCCTGTGTCTCTGCCTTTCTGTGTCTCTCATGAATGAGTAAATAAAATCTTAAAAAAAAAAAGCTACTCGGTGACATGATGTTTACACACCTCTGTTAACTACCCACTGTAGAATATTTCTCCCTCAGAGGATAAAGTTGAAAAGGGCACAAAATATAGAGCTTTTAGAACTTTTCATTATTTCATATGCAAGTTGGTGACCCTCTTTCAATTTAATTGATTTTTTATTTTTTTTACAAATACTGCCTATAAGATAAAACATACTTCTTTCACCTGACAATACTTAAGTGAGCAGGGAGGCCCTAAGTTGATGTGTGGATCCAGGTTCATTTGGTTTTCAAACACCTTTGTTTTTTGTTTTTGTGTTTGTTTTTATTTGTTTTGATACGTGTGTGAGAGAGAGTTTCTCCTATTAGTTTTCTCCTAATGATAGTTCAGGGTCCTTTGAAGTACAAAGAAGTATTCATTCTTCATTTCTTCACTTCCCCATAGAATTCACTTCTTCACTTCTCCATAGACAAATGCAAGAAGCCTGAGCCTTACCTGGTTTAGAGAGATTTTGTGTCAAGAGGACAATGGGTGTGATTATTTGCATGTGAAAGCCACAGTAGCTAACAGTGATTAATTCAGAACAGTATGTTTAAGAAGATAGTAACACCTGTTTCATAATGCTGGATTCCTTAGAAAGCTACAGGTTTCCAGCATGTCTATATTATAAAGTATTTTTAAAGATTTTATTTATTTTAGATCATGAGCTTGGTGGGGAGGAGAGTGTGTGAGCATGTGAGCTTGTGTTCTTGCACTTGAGCAGGGGAGGGGTAGATGGAGAGGGAGAAGCAGAGAATCTCAAGCGGACTCTGCCCTGAGGGTGGAGCCCAACGCAGGTTTTGAGCTCAACACCCTAAGACCATGACCTGAGCTGAAACCAAGAGTCGGCCGCTTAATCAGTTGAGCCACACAGTTGCCTCTATATTATAAAGTTTTGATGACCCAAATTGGTTCTTTAGAATGGTGAAAAGTGACACAAGCAGTATATACATGAGCACATAAGAATGGGTAGCAGCATAGGGAGAGGGACAAGCATGCTCTCCGCTGAGCAGGGAGCCCAATGCAGAGCCAATCTCAGGACCCTGGGATCACTGTGTGAGCCGAAGGCAGATGCCTAACCTGCTGAGCCACCCAGGTGCCCCTTTGGGCACCTAGAATTTAAAACTTGATTGGACCTTGGTGAATAAATCACTTAACCTTGATACCTGTATATAATCTGATAGTGTGCTAGGTGCTTTATGTTATTAATATTCCTCACAACAATATTGCTAGGTACCTATGTCTCCATTTTTAGAAATTATTTGTCTGAGGTCACAGAGCTAAACAGCGGCTCTGCATGGAGATTGTAGCCTCACTAAATCACCTGTGATTCTATTTTGCCACATATCTATTGTTTGTTTATTGGTAATATTTACACAGGAATCTTTTTACGCACAAAGCAATTTATTTCATTTTCCTAGCCTGAAAGTATTTACCATATGATGATAGGCAATTTTCCTTCTGTTTTAGATTAACAAGTGGTGGAATAACCTAAGTGATGGCCAGCGGACTGTGACAGGTTTGTGTTAGCTTACACGTTTTAGCCATTCAAGGGAAGAGAAATCAAACCAAAAGGTACAGTATGTCACAGTCAATGGCTTTTGTGTACCCTGCTCACCAGTGGTTTAGAAGACAGAGTCTGTACCTTCAGGCTAATGTAATATTTTATAAAAAGTAGTGTGACGTAAAGGTGTGCATGATGTTCTGGATCACTTATTTTCTAATTTGACCTAGTATGATACTGATCAAATAATCTTTGTTGTAGAATCCTAGATTGTGAAATAGGTTCTGAGTAATTATTACTTCCCCTGTTAAAGAAATTAAAGGGGACATTGATTAAGTACCTTCTTTATGCAGAATGCTTTATACACATTCTCTCCCTACCTCACAGGGTTGCTTACCGGGTAGTTCTCTCCCTTTTTACCAATAAGGAAACTGGCTTTCAGAGAAGGAACTTTTCAAAGGTCACACTGCTAGTAAGTAGTAGAGCTAAGTTTTGAAACCCAGGTCTGTCTCATTCTAAAGCTAATTTTCTCTTTACTGCACCATGCTGTTTTTAAAGTCTTTATTTATTAAATAAGTGTAAGCATGCCATGCATGTCACCATGATAATTTTTGTTCGTTGTCAATTTTCATGGAAAGATAAATCCAGCTCTTCAATATAATACTTGTACAGGATTTTATGGACTTAGTTATTTGAGAATTTGGGGAAATGGATTTGAAAGTTTAACAATTGTGCAGATAGGGAAAATGTCTCCTAGAGAAATAGCAAAATACTGCTTTTTCTTAAATATGGTTAGACTTAATGGTACTCTTAATTTTCTTTACCTAAGAGGAGAAAAAATGCTCATCTTTCTTCCTTTGGGCTCTTTGTCTAGAAGATTTACTTTTTCTCTCTCCTTGTTAGAACCTGAACTGGTCTTCGAGCTTATGGTATAGACATTGTTTCCTGCAGTACTGTTACCAGACCAAAGTGAATCTGTTCCTTGGTGAATTATAGACAGAGACTATATCAGGTTGGAGTTGCTCAGAGTTATCTTTATTTGTACAAATGAGACCATGGGAAATAATTTCCAAAGCTATGACTCCTTTCATCAGGGCTTGGGGTGAATATTCAGAAGGGTAAAAGATTTTAATATAATGAAGCTGAGGTAGCAGGCACTTTCTGACTCACCTGCACAGGCTTCCTCCTCAAATATTTCTTTTCCTGTTATAGCAGTTCATTAGTTTCTAAAAGATGAAAGTGACAAGCCGAAGCTTCTGGGAGTGTCCTAGGTTTAGTGGGTCATGAGATCTTGTCAGTAACAAGTGCTTTAATATTTCTGAACTCATTGCACTTTTTTTTTTTTTTTTTAAGATTTTATTTGAGAGGGAAAGAGATCATGGGAGAAGGGCAGAGGGAGAAGCAGACTCCCCTCTGAGCAGGGAGCCTGATGCTGGGCTCCATCCCAGGATCCCGGGATCATGACCTGAGCTGAAGGCAGGCAGTTAACTGACTGAGCCACCCAGGCATGCACCTCTCATTGCACTTTTTAATCATTTATTTTTTAAGATTTTATTTATTTTAGAGAGTGCACGCATGTGCAAGTAGAGGGAGGAGCAGAGGGAGAGGCAGAGGCTCCTTAAGCAGAGTCCCTGCTGAATGCAGAGCCTGAGGCGGGGCTGGATCCCAGGACCCCAAGATCATGACCTGAGCTGAAATCAAGAGTCCGATGTTTAACCCACTAAACTGTCCAGGTGCCCTGTACTTTTTAATCATTTATAGCACAGCTTGCCTTATGTAATTGTACATACAACATCCTTAAGGACAGCAGTGAGATTTTTCATTTTTTAGAGCAACTAGCACATGTCTTGCACACAGTAATGGCACTTGACTAAAAATCTGCTGAGTGAATGAATATTGAATGGGCTCTTGAATCAAAAGATTGAGATTTTTCAAAGGTATATTGCTATACTGTAGAATTGCTTAGTAAGGTCTTAATAAATAGAATACCTTCAAAGACAGCTCCATAATAGCTCATCTGTTTTCATTGGGATTAACAGGGTTTTTCGTTTGTTTGCTTGTTTTCTGAAAGTAACTAAAGTTAGCATTATTTCCTTAGGGTAGCAAAGTTTTGATTTCCTTTGATATTTTCAAAGTATCTCATAGTTAGTTGACACCTAGTGTTTTTTGAAGATAGTAAAGATTTTGTCATTAAATATTTGAAGAAACCTTGGGATTAAAATGTAAAACATTTCTCATGCCAGTAAATACCTTATACAAAGAAGTTGGTATTTGGAGACCACTAAAAATCAGAATTCTTTCCCCAGCCTTTTTTTTATCTTAGTCAAATCCGTTATTTGACACATAGGATACAGCAGTAGAGAGAGACAGACATTTTGATCTAACTGGCAGCTTGAGTGTAAAGTGCTTTGAATCACAGAAACATGAACAGTCATGCTAACTCCTTATTATGAGGTTATCTGAGTGACTTTTAAGTGCTGAGGAGATGCTGTCCCTGGGAGTAACTTTTTCAAAGGAACTAGAGAACTGATCCTTTTTTTTTTTTTTTAAAGATTTTATTTATTTATTTGAGAGAGAGAGAGAGAGTACAAGCCAGGGGGAGGGTCAGAGGGAGCAGCAGACTCCCCACTGAGCAGGGAGCCCGATGCAGGGCTTGACCCCAGGACCCTGGGATTATGACTTGAGCAGAAGCAGATGCTTAACCAACTGAGCCACCAAAGTGCCCCTAGAGAACTGATCTTCATCCTCCCTGCTCTCCCTTTGGTTGGTTGGGGATTTTTTTTTTTTTTCTGGTGTTAATCTTAATTACTACACAGAAGTATCTTCCCAAACTTCACCTTGCTTTGAAAAAAAAGTTCACTTGGTATTTGTGGGAGCATTGATTAGCATTCTTCAAGTTAGACTTGTCCCTGGTGCTTTTACACTTCAGTTAGTTTCCTATTGTATTGCCTTGTTCTGCAGGGGTTTTAAGCCTGTACTGGAGGTCCCTAGGCAACCCGCAATTTCTCTCAAATAGATAAGGAGAGTATTTCCCCTACCTTTCTAGCTTTCAGGTATGTCTGTGAGATACCTGCCAGGTTTTCTAGTAGCTCAGCAGAATGCTGACGTTACTATTTCGGGATTTAGGTAAAGCAGAGAGAGAGAAACCTGCCAAATTGTTGTATCTGATGGAGGAGGACATGGAGAGGAGGAGGAGGGGAAGAGAAACCTCAGAAAACAGTGCCCTATTTTCTCTGCTAGTCCATGTGTATCGTCAGCTCCAAAGTTAGTCACTATCGCACCCTAGGGCCTTACGCCTTCTGCCCCAACCTCTAAAAGTGTATTTTTTTTTTATTTCATCTTTTTGCTATTTTCCTTCTACCAGGAATAGTTTATTTTTGAGTTTTTATTTCCTTCCTTCTTTCCATTTTTAAGTAGGCTCTACACTCAATTTGGGGCTTGAACTCACAACCCTGAGATAAGAGTTGCATGCTCAGGGCACCTCACTGGCTCAGTCAGTTAAATGTCTGCCTTTGTCTCAGGTCAAGATCCCCGGGTCTTGGATTAAGCCCCATGTTGGGCTCCCTGCTCAGTGGGGAGTCTGCTTCTCCCTCTCCTTCTGCCCCTCCCACTCTTGTTTTGCTCTCTTTCTCTCTCAAATAGATAAATCTTTAAAAAAATAAAAAGAAAAAGTGTCACATGTTCTACCAACTGAGCCTGCCAGGTGCCCCTAGTTTCAATTTTCTTTCCCTTTATACCTTTCAAAGATTTTGATCTATACCTCCTAGGCTAAGGTCTGCCTCCCTGCTCCTGAAGTTGCGGTAAGCAGTGTTAACTGGATCTAACTAATCTTAAACTTTTGTCACTTTTTCCTGAAATTCTTAGCTTATCAGTCTTCTGACAAGTTATTTCTGGGTAAAGAAAAACAAAACTAATGTTTGAGTGCCAATTAGGCTTCAAGTACTAGGGTAGGTACTTTACATATGTGCTGTTATCCTATTATTAATCTTTTTATTTACGATTTTATTTATTCACGAGAGAGACAGAGAGAGAGGCAGAGACACACAGGCAGAGGGAGTAGCAGGCTCCCCACAAGGAGCCTGATGCCAGACCCAATCCTGGGACCGTGGGATCACACCGTGAGCTGACGGCAAGATGCTCAACCACTGAGCCACCCAGGCATCCCCCTTATTATTAATCTTAATTGTAAGAGCCCTTTTGGTGGTATTCTGATTGTTCACATTGACTAACTGAGGCTCAGAGAAGTTAAATAACTTGTCTGAGCTCACACAGCTAGAAAGGGTAGGGATGAGGGAAATAAACTTTTTTTTTCCCCCCCTCAAGTGCACTTCCTAGTTTAATATACATTTTATTATATCTTTTCACTTTCTACTATAGCAGATCACCTCACCACTAACTTACCTTTCTGTTAACCACACTGCCACCTCCCAAACCAAGGTATCTGGGTGTTTATTGACAGCCCAAACTGCAGTGGCTTGTCCTAATACAGCAGGCTGGCACTCAGGGATGAATGGGAGCCCTTTTTGTCTACTTAGGTTAGTCTTTGTCATTGTAAAATGAATAAATGTGCATGGTAACGGGATAAAATAGTGTTAAAGAATATATAAAGTGAAAAATCTCTATAGATTTCTAGTTCTGCAGTTTTTTAAAAAAATTTACTTATTCATGAGAGAGAGGGAGAGACAGAGACCCAGGCAGAGGGAGAAGCAGGCTCCATGTAGGGAGCCTGACGTGGGACTCGATCCCAGGACTCCAGGATCCCACCCTAGGCTGAAGGCTGCGCTGAGCCACTGGGGCTGCCCTAGTTCTGCAGTTTCTGTTCCCATATTAACTACTGCCTTTTTAGTTATATTTGTATATTCTTCCAAAGTATTTATATATAGGCATTTATACTCCTTTGCACCTTGATTTTATTATTCTCTTAATATCTTAAAGGACACTGTATCAGTGCAAATAAGTCTATTACATTCTTTGTTTTATAGAAGTATAATGTACATAGAAGAATATGCACATGT